ACTAGGTTCCAGCAGTTGAGACAAGCAGCAGAGATTTGAGGTTCTCAGAGTTGGAGACATGGAGAAGCAGACCTGGTCTGGTCTCTCTGAGTCCTTCACTGAGCATAGTACCTTTCAGAGCCAACTGGGACTATTCCAAACCTACCTCCCTGCATCTTTTGGCATTTATCTGGTGTCTGTGGCAGTGGGGAATCCAGTTGACCTGTACTTGACACCTTTTCCTTTAAGCTCAGGCTTTTGTAAAAGGCCTGTTACCGAAGGCTGAATGAAACAGACACAGTGAACAGTGTTTCTACAGAATCGAAATCATTTGTTTAGGGCACTTTATCCTTTAAAGCAGTAAACTGGCAAATGAGCAAATATTCAAGTTTATATGTTCCCCAGCAGATATGGTTAGGATTTGAGTTGTTATCTTAACTACTGTGAATGATAAAAAATTACACTACTAAAAGGTCTAAACATAGCTTCTGGAATGGTCCATTTAAGCAAGTGGAATACTGAGGAATTTACATGCTTTCACAGTATAGCCTAAGTGACTAGCACTTTTTTTGACCCAAGGAGGGAATAAAATCTACTTAGTATTATGAGAGCTAGAAATTAGAAGAGTATAAATCAACATTCAATAATACCTTATTTTAAATTACCTTAAACCAATGGGAAAACTTCCTAGCCCCATCTACCATCTGCATACAGAAAACAGAGGCGCTGAAAGTGCAGTGAGCACAGCAGCCTGCAACCTGACTTTACTGTCTCATTTGCCTTATTTGAATCTCATGAAAAGTAGATGTTGATGTAAAATTTGTATCTCCCATTGTCTGGCTGCATCTGCCACCACAGTCTTTGAATTGCTGGGAAGATGCCACAACTATTGTTGAAAGAATAGAAGACTGACCTTGGGTTAAGATGGAATTTCTTCATTGTGCAGACACTGCAGTAGGCAGGCGCTTTCAATGCCTGGCGTTGGTTCTGCTGGCGCTGGTCAGAGGGCCTGTATTGTTCATGTGCAATTGTATTCCTTACTCACTGTTGCTTATTGAGATGGGAAAATAGAATTTAAGAAAAGTGTTCCAGATGTTTCTAATCTACTTCACAATCATAGGCATTTGATAACTTTACTGGGTGATGAACGCTTTGAATTTTCTTCCCCAGGAGTTAAAGAGGGCTGCATTGCCTCCACGGAACCGTCAACAATTCAACTCCCAGATTATTTGATGTAAGTTCTATGTCTACCAATGGAGAGAGCTGTTTAATTTTAGAAAGTTCATGGACTTTTTCTCCATAATTTACAAACCAGTAAGAAGTTCCAGATAGAGCAACCTGGAGCCCCACCCCATTTCTCAGTGTTTCCCAAGGCTTGCCAAACCATCCTTGCTGCGTGTATAGGTCCTGCCACCCCTGCTCTGAGCTGTGTACTCAGGCCTTTGAGTCTAGACGAGTCTGTCCTTTGTTCCAGGGCCAGGGAAGCATTTGATTATGGATGATTTCAGGGATCTGACTCTTGAAGACTGACAGGCTATCTATCAATGCACAGTTATCTCCTTAGCCCCCTTGAGGGGCCATTTATTACTGACAGAGTGCTTGGACCACTGCACTTAGTAATACAAAGCAGAGAGAAATTGGTTTTGTATTTAAATGAAGTTCTGCCTTCAAATTAATTTTCAGAGGAGAGACTAGTGAAATAGGATCATTTACTTTAGCACTGGTTATAATGTTTTGCTTATTATGACAACAAGCAGCTAAATACTAAACTGGGGACATTTTTGTAACTGGTTATCACAGAAATTAAAACTTAGACACATAATTCTAGCTTTTTTAGAGAATAAAAGGCTTCTGTAAGAAGAAAATGAAATTAAGTTGCAAGAGCCTAGAAAAATTGAGAGTGATGGAACAGACAGATCTGAGTGCAGATAGTTTTGAAAATGATCCAATATGCAAAATAATGAGACTGTGGAATGAACAGTGGGAGCTGGGCTGTGGGGACTTCGTTGTCCCCTATTAGTAGCATCTGGAGGTGGACAAAGTTAAGTAGTGCTGTTTACCTCTGCTCATTCCCAGAGTAGAGAAGTTTTAGATTTAAAACATGCCACTTCTTAATGGTAGTGTGAAAGCTATACTTTGGGGGAAGGATACAGCCTGAAACCATCCAGAAAACCGTGCTATGTACTCTTTCATCCAGGGTCGTTCGTGTATATGATTTTAGAGTTGGGGGGGCTTGAAAGGTGGCTGCCATCGACTTGGGCAGCCAGGCTACCAGGACTACCACTGGCTCCGCAGCTGAGGGGTCCACCCCTCCAGCTACAAAACACTTCTGAAAGTCGCCCCCCTCAACTAACAACCACCATTATAGTGCTGGCACTACTTTGTGATAGATTTTGGATTCCTCTTTCTTATAATATAATTACATACACTTGGTGAACATGACAGAATCCGGTAGAGAGACTAAAGAATAATGCCAAAGTTTCCCCATGAAGTTGAAGCTGTTACTGTGATTTGCCAAGTTAATTAGTTAATTTCTGTATTTAAAAGGGGTTTTTTTTTGCAGTTTTTGGCTGGAGCTGGGTTTGAACCCACCACCTCTGGTATATGGGGCCGGTGCCCTACTCCCTTGAGCCACAGGCACCGCCCTAAAAGGGTTTTATTAGGTTACTAATCTAAGGAGGATTGCTGGGTATGCCTGAGTGCCTCTGTGTATGTTTATCCTGTTTCTAGTGCAATGTGATTGTTGGCTTGATTTATTTAAGCAAAAGCAATTTTTTAACCAAAATTAAGACTTATGTAAGTATAGCAAATTTTCTAAAAATTGTGAGAACCAGAAATTCAGAAAAATTGCCAAAAATACAGAAATTAAATTGCCTCCTGAGAAAACCAAAAGGAATGATTAGGATGATCCGAATTCAAATACTTCATACTTAACTCCAGCATTTCTAATTTTTATATGAGGCCAATTTTGTTACTTATAGGTGTGAGGTATCCAAATGGCTTAAATTGTTTTCCCATTACTGCATCAAGAACCAACCATAAAGAGCTGTAACAATTTTTTGTTAAAATTGTGAAATGCTTTTCATTAAAATGCCAGTAGAACCAAGTAGCCTCTAATATAATAGCTATACAATTGTTAGCCAATTTGTTATTTTTTCCTGAGGAAATTATTACATAAAATACTGAGGGTGTGATTTTGAGAATGTGAGATGAGTATATAATAGATTAAGTCTGAGTTCCAAGATTGGCGTAGATAGCCATTTTGTTGATACATGCTTATCCAGGGACCTCTTTGACCCCCCAAGACTCCTTCTGTTGTGCAGTCAAGACAATCCGTGTCTGGGAAGGACAGCTTCATAGTCTAGCTAGTGGCATTCTTTTTACAGCTAAGATACCAGGAGGGCAGCTGTACATCTGCATACTGTCACAGTCTCAGTTACACTTAGAAAATTAAATTCCATACTGCTGTAACTCAGCGTGAATAAAAATATTAATGAGAACACTAAGTTTGCTAACTGCATCTCTTTTCTCACATTTCCTACTAGGCATCTGTGACATAGCAATTTAAATAAAACTGACAAGATTATGTAAAACCATTTGCAGAGGACTTAACTCTAAGATTTTAGCACACTTGAGAATATAAGTACACCCCCAGGGAACATCCTGAAGCTCCTGTCGCCTGCCTGAGATTGCTTTGAAATCTCAATTTCTAATACAAAAAGTCAAGGGGATTTTGGACTTTATGGCAGGAGCACATAGTGCAAAGAACCAGACAATTCCTGGATCCACAAACAATACCACTGAGTTTGTTTTAATGTTAAAATGCTATTTTACCTTACTTAGTGTTGAATAAACTGGCACTCTAGAGAGACAAATGGCCTTCCCTTTACCAGGACCCCAGGGGTATTCACACTCTGAAGTAAAATATACATTCGTGGTAATTCGTGGTATTTTTTAAAAAATGTAAATTAGACTAACAATACAACACTGGCATTCTGCTCAGTGCAGTGTGACATTTTAAGTGTTTGAGAAGAACTAGGGAACTATACCTTTAGGTCTGTCTCTCATTTTCAAAAGTGGCAGACAATTCAAATCATAAATACGAGGAAGGGGATAGAGGGAACAAGCCTGAGGCGCCTGGTTGAAGAGTTCTGCTGGTAGCACCCGTGAAGGGCCAAGTCAGCCTTTCATAAAGAGCAGTCCGGAGAGCGCCTGGACGTCAGACCTGAGGGGCGGCACACAGCTTCCCGGCTTCACACAGCCTGTCCAATCCTTCTGTCTCGGTACCACTCGTAACAGATGGGCTGGCCTCTGCCATCGGTGCAGTAGCTTTTGGATAAAGAAAGGTTCACTAGTTGCACTTTAATTCCATTTCTACCAGATTTTATCACATTTACTCTCCTTTATTGAAGCTCTTAAGCTGTGCTATCTGCTACTTCACCTGAAAGGTGTGGTGTTTGAAGGAGGGACCTAGCAGCAAACCAGTGGCAAAGCATCGTTAAATACTAGTGATATGTGCATGGGTATAATTTTTAAATGTTAGGGTTATTTTTTACTAAGGGCATTAAATATATACAACTATTAGGTATTTATAATAATAAAAATTAAAAACTTAAGTAATAAAAATGTCTAAATATTTGGTTTAAATCTCAGATTTGTGCAATCGTGTTTGTTGTATAATTATGCCCCATTTATCTTTTTTCTTTTTCTTTCTTGTTAGAAAATACATTGCTATCGTCTCTTACGAGCAACGCCAGAACTATAAGGATGACTTCAATGCTGAGTATGATGAGTACAGAGCTCTGCATGCCAGGATGGAGACTGTAGCTAGGAGATTCATCAAACTAGATGCACAGAGAAAGCGCCTCTCTCCGGGGTCAAAAGAGTATCAGGTGAATGGATTTGCTCCTAGATGGATTGACTTGTTTCTGCCACTGTATTTTGCCTTCTTTCTCTCCCTGCCCTCCCCAATCCCACTCATCCCACTGGCCTTTACAGCAAGTCCTCTGGGCGGTCCAGCCTCGCTGCTGCTTTAAGGAAACTAAGTATTTGAAATAGCTCTTGAAAGTAGATTAACACTGTAAGCCTGTATTTCCACCAGTGGAAAATAATGTTGTGCCACTATATAAAATAATATATTGATAAAAATGCCACGCACTGCTAGAGAGGAAAAAGTTGAATCTTGAGGTTCATTTAAATATTTGATTTAAGACTTTAGTGACTAGGATTGGTGCTGTACCCCAAAACTACTGTTTCCAGGTAAAATGTTTTTGAATTTTGATTTTAAAGACACCCCAGTCTAATAGAATAGGGAAGATGAAGACATAGGATGTAAAGGGGGCTTAGTCTCACAGAGGTTTGGAGTTTACATGAAAAAGCTTGGTCCTTGGGCAAGTTACTTGATTCCACTTTGCCTCAGATTCCCCATCTGTAAGATAGGAGAGTCACAGGGTCTGTGTGAAGAGTAAATGGAAGTAAGCCTCTGTAAATGGCTCACATCCGTGCCTGCTGCTTGGTGCACAGTGCTAGCCAGCTAGTTTTGCTGCCACCTGACCTCCCCACTGTCCCCAAGACAATTGTTGGTGACTACACCTTACTGAAGTGTGCTTATGTGATATTGTGTGTATGAAATGTATGTCTGTATTTATACAAGTCAATTCACATACCTACCATCTTTAATCAAATCTAATAGGTGTGATTATTGGTAATGATAAGTTACTGGTTATCCTGTCTTCATCAAAATGGGAAGAAATGAGCCTCTTAAAAGTAATTAAATTCTTAGGATATAATACTATTCTATTTCTCCCTTTTAAACACATAGTATCAAACTGTCCATATTGTTCTGCACTTTCTTTTTTCACCAAAGAATATAATGTATCTTAGAGAATTTTTTTATATCACCTAGTACATAAAGTACGTCCCCATTTTTTAGTGGCCACTCAGAATCCTTTGTACAGATTGATGGAAAAGTAGGCTTTGCGTACTGTCTTTTGCTACAAAAACAGTGCTGCAGTGAATAACCTTGTGTATGCTAATTTCACTCAGGGGCAAGTCTATCTGTAGGATAAGCAGAATTGCTAAGTCAGTTTTGCATTTGCTATTTTGATAGCTATTGCCAAATTGCCTTCCATAAAAAGATTGTTGTAAGTTACATTCCTACCATCCATATTTCTTAGACCCTTGCTGAATGCATATTTGCTGTTTGTTTTGCCCCCCCCAAAAAAATTGTTCTCTCTTGATTTCTAATTTTTGATTTTGTAGAATGTTCATGAAGAAGTCTTACAGGAATATAAGAAGATCAAACAGGTAGACATTATCACCGTTGGTTTTCTAACCTGTTGCTGAGAAGGGTTATAAATTGTGCAACCTGATTCCTTGCTGTTTTTTTTTCTTTTCATCTGCAGTCTAGTCCCAATTACCACGAAGAAAAGTACAGATGCGAATATCTTCATAACAAGCTGGCTCACATCAAAAGACTAATAGGTGAATTTGACCAACAGCAAGCAGGGTTGTGGCACTAGAGCTCTGCTGGAACCAGAAGATGTGAATAAACTTAAACTTATTTATTTAAAATTCCAAATGAGTTACCCTGGATTCTAAAAAGATGAAACTTTGCCTGTTAAAAGTTTCAGTATTAGTAAACTTGAGTTCCTTTTTTTTTCTTTTCCATTTTACTTTGCTTCCCTACATTTCAAAGCTGCTTTTTCTGGTCCTTTTTCTCCCCTCAAGACTTGTGTTTGTTAATAGAAAATAATTTTTAGGTATAGGGATCCAATGTTTATACTTCAAATCAGTTGTTTTTCCTCAAAAAGTTGTGTTTGTCATTATAAATGATTTTTTAGATATTGGGGATCCATTGTTCACACTTAAAAATTGTGTGTTTAAAAAAAAGTAACATGCAAGGTGAAATGCTTTTGGATGAACATAAGCCTCTTTTCTGACCTTTCTTAATGCGAACTCTTTGCCTTAAATGGTAGAATATTTAGAAATTTGCACAAAATACAAAAAAAAATTAAAACATTGTCTTGGAGGGTTAAAAAACAGAAAGGTATCTGAGTATGTATTTGTGTACAGAGTTACATACACATATGTATTTACAGACTGGCTCAGTCTAGACCATTAAATCCACCCTGCAAGTTAACCCCCCATTGCAATGGTTGCCTTAAGGTGTTTGCTAGTTATGTACATAGTGTGGTTAATCCTTAGCTACACTGCTTCCCACTTGGGTAGTGCAGTGGGAAGCATACTGTGGCCTACCAGCGTCTGGAAGTGTGCTCAGCCTGTGTGCGTGCAGAGGTGGTGTGGACGTGAGTGTGTGTGGAGGAGAAAAGCTGCTACTCTCAGTAGGCCAAACGCTCAGGTCAAACAACTGACGAGTGTTACTGTAGGGTGTTTTTTTTTTCTGTCAAACTGCTACTTTTGTGGAAGACAAAAGCATTTCCATTTCAACTATTTGTCAGCTTTATTAATGTTGGGAAAAAATTAATATGTTATGAAAATGAAACAGATCTATAGTTTTGGGACAAAATTATAAAATTAAATGTGTAGGTAACCTATTTATATACTGCTATAAAGTATTTTTTGAAGAGAGATATGCAAAGAGCTATTACCTACATGAGATGTATATTTAAAGATTTTTTTTCTTCCTGGGCACCAGGAATATAAAGAAGAGTGGATATATTTAACATAACATACTGTGATTCATCAAACAGCACAAACTTTCATTTCATGGAGTTTATCTGTTGGCGTTGATTTACACTATCACTTGTTTTATCATGTGGGAACATAAGTTATATGGTCAAAAAGATAAGGATCTTAAACTAATGTTGATTCAAGTCGTGTTGTCTTATTGTATTGTCTTTTCAAAGTGCTGCCAGTTGAAAAGGGAAGCATTATGTTTACAAATCTGTTTTGAAATGTTTGCCAAAATTTTGGTCGTGTCTTTAATAAAGATATTTGTCTTGAGCATCCACAAAAACGAATAAATAGTATTGTTGTGTATCACTGTCAACCAGAAAATTTTGGTATCTAGAAAACATGAGAGAACATGTCGATCAACTTTTCTCCGAGAAGTTTTTCTTAAACATTAACTGGAAAGATAAGATACTACATTAAAAGTACACACAAGTATGCAGATCATGCAAAGTAGGAAACAAGACCCTTTTGCACTGCAGCATTGTATATCACAGGGACCTCCTAGGGAGTTCTGCTTGTTTCAGCAGTGAGATCCCTGGTGCTCTTTCTTTTCCCTCATAATTGGTACAATCATTAAATGTTAATTTCTTTCAACCTTTCAGTTGAAAAAAGAAAAGGAAACTTAACCAGGGTTAAATTTGGTCCTCATATTATTATGGTAAAGTCTCCTGAGGGGATATTTCTATAGGTAATGACTTATTCCTTACATATCTTGCCCTTCTAATCAAAGATTAGGTACTGCTGCTTGCTGCGAGCAATGTTTCTCAAAAGCCAGGTGCTTGGACCACTTGCATCACTCAAATCAGACTGTCTGGAAGGGGCTCCCCCAGCTATCTGAATTTCACAGGTTTCCTACAGTGACCTTTACAAACAAGTATGAGAACCACTGCCTTAGCTAAACTTTTGGGTCTCCAAATCTTAAATTTTAGATTGAAAGTCAACTGTTGCCCTTTTTTTTAAGCCCATTGCTGTCAGCAGGTACGAATCACATCTGAGGTGGTCAGTTGTTTCACTGCCAACCCTTATGTCAGAACCTATATACAAGCAAGCCTCCCAGTTGGCTAACCCAGCCCCACATCAGCACATCTTCTGGTTGATGAGTTGGGTAGAAGTGGAAGCTGGAGATGCTTAGTGGAGTCCTGCACTGAATTCCCTTAGACTTAACCTCATACCAGTAAAAGCCTTAATTTAGATTTTTTTTTTTTTTTGGCAGTTTTTGGCCAGGGCTGGGTTTGAATCCACCACCTCTGGTATATGGGGGTCAGTGCCCTACTCCTTTGAGCCACAGGCACTGCCCAATTTAGATCTTTTTGTAGATGTTAGACAGATCTTACAAAATGTATATCTGTCTATTGCAAATTTGACAGTTATAAATCTCTGAATCTACTTTTACCCAAGGTTGTATATTTTTTGAAGGTGGACATGAACCCATTCAAATAATCATATTTTTCATCCCCTACTGCAAGATTTTTACATTCTTGCAAATGATTGCTATAGGAATGGTGGTTGCATAGATTTTTTTTTGGTTTTTGGAAGAACAGTAGGTATACAAATTTTCAAGATTGGAGAATGAGTTGTGTTGTTCTTTGATCACATTTCATCTAAAATAATTTGAAGGACTCTTGAATCAAGATTTTTAATGATACCCTTAACTCCAGAATGAATGAGCTATTGATTTAAAATAAACTAAAAAAGTATTAACTCAATGTGTACTTTTTTAAAAAGTGGATATTTCAACTCTTGCCTTATTTATTTCCTTCGGAACAATTGAAAGTTAACTCTAAGCTCTGTACGTAGTAAAGGATATTTAAGACCTGCTGTCACAAAAGTAACTGGTATAGTCAGTTTGTATTCCATGCAATGATTATGAAAATTCAGTATTTTCTTTCCTCTCTGATTGATCTTATAATCTTTGTAGGGGTTTTCTTTTCCCTTAAAGTGTTTAACCGTATCATGCAAAACCAATGCATGCTTGCCTGTTAGAAGCAAGTTCCTGACATGGGGTTTACGCTTAAATGGCCCATCAGTTCAGACACTGTTCGGAGCCTTCCGCTCCCCGTCACTGCACACTTGGCTTCTGGATTTTGGCTGAAACTCTTGAACCAATTCTTTTTCTTTCCAGCATTATGAGTGTCCAGTCACATATGCTTGGTATATGCCTTTACTACTTTTGAAGTTCTATAGTTTATTACTCACCCAAGTGTTACTAAATCTTTTTGCATGTGTACTGGATGAGGAAAAAAATGTAGCCTGCCACCATTCAATTAAAAAAAAAAAATTGTAGCCTGCCCTTTGAGAGGAAGATTTTGAGACAAGATATTGACCAGCACTACTAAATGATGGCCACAAAAGATGTCATCAATGTCAACATTATTTGTAACCTGAAAATTGAACAAAGCTGTGAGGCTCATTTCAAATTATTTTGAAGTGTTAAAACACATATATACATATACATATGTGTGTGTGTGTATATATATATTTATATATATATGTGCTGTTTCTCAGCTGTCCCACCCAAATCATCCTAGAACTCTCAAAGGTAAAATCTCATAGGGGCTCTTTGGTTGTCACTGAGCTCAGCTGTGGTGGCCCATGTTGTTCACCAACTTCAGTTCAATAAAAATGTTAACATTGCAATTCTGGTACCTGTTTTTCCTTTTTATCATTTCAAAGCTCTTAACTTTGTTTTAAAAGGCAAAAAATAGCCCCATGACCAAGTGTCTCCTGGGACAGAGATATTACTTGGTGACTCCAGGAAGTGAACCAAGTATGTTCCCTGGAACCTGCCTGTTGTATTAGTGTAAGACATGCCCCCTGGAGGCCATGTCTGCCAGGGGAACAATAATCATACTTAGCATTGGAGAGGGGTGGGGGGTTGTACTTGTGACACAATTTTTTGCATGCACTGTCCCATGTTTCCTCAGCACCTGTTATCTGCACAGGTGAGGCAGAGAGAAGAGACTTGCACGTTGTACAGCTCCGAGATGGCAGGGCCCAGGAAGCCAGACCCCAGCACCTGTGCTCTGCACCCCCTCACGCTGCCCCCCTGGTTTATACAGGATGAGACTTCTCTTCCCAAAGTGATGATTTTAGTGGCACCACACTTATGACTCCAAAGAATCTTGAATATGTGGGTCAAGATGGTGCTGGTAAATTATTCTCAGTGAGTTGGCTTGTCAGCCATGACAGAATATATTTAAAGCAAACCCAAATTCCTTTTGAGGAAAGGTGGTTCCTCCTCTGCTCCTTTACTTTTGAGTGTATGGTATTTGAAAGTGGACAGTGCAGATGGCGGTAGGAGAAGGGGCATGGCCTTGTAACCCTGTCATTTTCTCCTAGTAAAAGGCTATCTCAGGAACAGATTCCATCTGAATGAGACATAAGGACATTTTCCTAACCGAATCCTTAACCTGCAATTTCTATTAAATCTTTTTTTTTTTTTTTTTTTTTTTTGGAAACATAGTCTCACACTTTGTCACCCATGCTCTTGCCTCAGTTTTTCATTTTTAGGAGAGATGGGAGTCTTGCTCTTGCTCAGGCTGGTCTCAAACTCTCAAACTCAGCTTCCCACAGTGCCTGGGATCACAGGCGTGAGCTGCTGCCTGGCCTGAAGAGATAATATAAAAGGAAAAAAAAGCTTCAACTGGTGCCCGCAGTGCCTCTGCCAGTGTAATGCAGAGCCTGAGCAGCAGGAGGTCCTGCCTATTGTCACCACTCTGTTGTCACTGTGTTGGGAGACCTCCCCTGGGGGAGACCTTGGACAGTCCACGTACCTGTTGGTGTGAGTCCTGTCCTCAGCTGAAAAGTGAAAATATGTCTCCTTACTGGTGTGGGAAAGGGTCTATTATTGCTTTTAAAGCATTTGGGAGTTTCATGAAAAAATAGGTCTCTAAATTACAGATTATGTGCCCAGAGCAATAAATAGGGAGTGTTGGTTGAGGCATTATTTTCCAGGTGAGAATGAAATTCATTTTGCCTGATGGCAGAGGAGGTGAAATCAGGCAAGAGATTCCAAGGTGGTGTGTTTGAGGCTCGTTTTATTGAATCTATGTGCCCACATACCTGGTTTGCTGGTTTGGCCTTTCTGAGATTGGGATGGGAGGCTGGCAGTGGCAGAAGCAGCCTCTGGTGTTCTAAGATTGCTTAATTCTCAAGCTGGGGGTCCGATTCTGCTGTGTGTGATTGTGGAGATATATCATTTTCAACTCCTGCCTGCCTGATTCCACTGACCAGGCAGGCTGGTTTTTCTCACTGTAATCAGGTAGTTGGTACAACACAGACATTTGCAGATGGATGGTAAGAACTCCATACCCAGGTCTGTGCAGTGTAGGAAAGTGTCTCCTGAAGATGAACCCACACTATTAGCCATCATGACTGAGTTCTAGGGCTGGGCTTCTAGAAGCATAGCTGACCGCCTTCCTGTCTTTTGTACATTCCCAACATGCTTGAAGAACTCTGTTGCGGTGTGTGTGGCAGTGCGATCTGCCTCTCCAGTCTCCGCCTGCACCTCCCACTCAGGACACCAGTCGTACAGGCCAGCCTGCAGGCTCTCCTGCCCCCAAGCTTCACATGCCAAGTTGGCTCTGCTCAACCCTCTCCTCATTTCACTACATCCCTTTGCCCCTTTATCTCTCCAAAGTTGTGATTTAGGAATTCATGATGGTAGACTGGAGCCCATGGCAGAGCCACTTGACTTTGGGAGTCCTTTTTCCAATGCTTAACAAACTGGAAATCTTCAAAAAGAACATTTCTTTCCAATATTAGCATTCTTACCTGTAGCTCCCTGTGGAATTTGAACATCAGCAGTCTGTAAGGATTTGGAATATGAAATGAAGTGGCTTTCAAAGTTACTTTTATTGCTTGCATTAACAGATAGGCAAGTTCCAATTTGTTTCCTAATACACGTTCTTTCCCATAGCTTTTTGTCACTTCACAAGGACGTGGTAGAAGAGAGCTTCCTAAAACTGGTGCAGAAGGTGCATCACGTATCTATCTTCATTACAGCACCTGTACCCTGACATGCTTCAGACCCCGCATGGGTTTCTGTGGACGTTTACTGCATGCCTCACACGGTGTCCCTCGGCGTGGGGCACATTCTGAGGATCGGCAAAGATGGAGGTAACACAGCCCATCCAGAGTGTGCAGAGCAGCAGGACGTTTCATAGATGATGAAATGAGGGTGTCTCATGCCAGCACACGGCGGAGCAGGACGACACTCCAGGAGCTTACACACTCTTCCTAGGGAGGGATGAGAATAACCCAGAGTCGCTACTGGAA